TGGGGTGGCTTGTCTGGTTTTGCTGCTCTTCTGGGCCTGGAGCTAAAATACAACTGAGGCCTGGATGTTATTAATAGGGAGGAAAGGTCAGGGGGTCCCAACCTCAAGGCCAGTGTTAGGCTGGGGGAGGAAAGGTCCCCCTGGGAGTGAGGTCCCACCCTACAGTTGTCCTTTGCTAGACACCCAGGGCTTTCTGCCCTGGTGACCTTCTGTGCCTGGCCCATCGTCCTTGCTCTGCTCATGCCTAACTGCCTGCCGCAATATCGATGCAAGAGGAGTGTTCTCCCCCTTCCCCGCTGATGATGACGCAGCACTTAGAGAGTGGCAGGCCATGTTTTCATCACTCTGGATCTTTGCACTTTCACAACAGCCATATAAGGGAAGTACTTCTATTAGTAGGTACGAGCCCTTTCTGCTAATGGGACCATTGCAACACAGGAAGGCTAAATCACTTGCCCCAGTGACATAGCTGGGAATCTGTACACTCGGTGGAATCCAGCGAGGCTTCCGAGGGAAGGGGAAGAAGGCCCCTCGATCGCCAAACCTGTGGCTGGAGTCTGTTGACAACACTTCTCTAAGGCTCGAAGCCATTTAAGCCAGAGCAAGCTGCCAGCTCACCACCCACTGTGGCAGCAATACATGTGAAATATATAGATTTTTATCATAATGATGTACGTAATGATGAATAATATAAATATGTATTATAGTAATAGTAATATAATTATGATGTTATTATTATAACAATAGAATCATCTGGCCAGCTCCAGTGTCTCACATCATACAGTTTCTTGGTATCAGTGGTAAAATAGTTGGCTTCCCATGTAAATATATTTAAGAAAATAGGAATCATTTGGGCAAATTGGGACATTTGCCGATCACAATTTGGTGGAAGAGTGAAGGACTCTGGTCTGCAGGTCACATCTTCGTGGACAACACGGGACACACAGCCTGGCTCACCAGCCCTGGCTTATTTGGAGGCAAATCTATTTCCCCTCAGCCACATAGAACAGTCATAAGACAAGTAGCTAGTATTGTAGACCGCTCCCCACGTGCCAGAGCTCATGTGGGTTCTGTTTATTATAACAATAGAATCGTCTGGCCAGCTCCAGTGTCTCACATCATACAGTTTCTTGCTATCAGTGGTAAAATAGTGGGCTTTCCATGTAAATATATTTAAGAAAATAGGAATCATTTCAAATTACAAACGGCAGGTTTCTTTGGGTTTCTGAGGAGATACAGCGCATCTTCCTCATGCCTGGACATTTCCTGTGCCGATCACAATTTGGTGGAAGAGTGAAGGACTCCGGTCTGCAGGTCACATCTTCGTGGACAACACGGGACACACAGCCTGGCTCACCAGCCCTGGCTTATTTGGAGGCAAATCTATTTCCCCTCAGCCACGTAGAACAGTCATAAGACAAGTAGCTAGTATTGTAGACCGCTCCCCACGTGCCAGAGCTCATGTGGGTTCTGTACCTGTACAAACCCATTCACTCCTCTGACCCATGTGGCTTACTTTACCCCTTGACAGTGAAGGAGGCTGAGCCACACAGAGGGTATGTCACGGCATTAGTGGCAAGAACACTCCGCTGTTTCTCATCTCTCCAGCCAGGGGCACAAATGGCTCTCCTTGTGAGAGGCAGGGTTGAGCATCCAGTAACACGGTGACCAGCTCGCAGTGGCCAGGGAGTGAAGCCACCTGGAGCTTAGTTCAGACCTGTGACTTCTTGAGCAGGTTGTTGAACTTCCCTGGAAAATGCCATAATCGCTTCAGCCCTTCCATCTGCAGTCTGTCTCCCTGGCCCCGTGAGGATGAAATGACGGGTGGGAAAGGCTTGGTGTCCACCCAAATGCGGTGGCAGTGTCTCATCCCAGGATGCTTATTACAGGAGGTCACCTCTGTCTTCCTGGCCCCGGGTCAGCACATTTTTATCCCACCCTTAATGTCCAACCCAGAGTCATGCTTCTTTTTTTTAAAAAAAATATGGTTTTTGTTGATTTTATAGAAAGAGGAAAGGAGAGAAATAGAAACATCACTGAGAGTCATCAATTGGCTGCCTCCTGCACAACCCCCATGGGGGATCCGGCCTAAAACCTGGGCATGTGCCCTGACTGGGAATTGAGCCGGCAGCCTCTTAGTGCATGGGAGGACACTTAACCAACTGAGCCACAGCGGCCAGCCGGGCCGGAGTAATGCTTCTAAACCAATGAGCCTTCCTCCAGGTGCATGGTGGGATGGAAAAGGATTCTCTCCACACGAATGGACACAGTGATCATTGAACCACGTCCAGCACGGCCAGGGGTGAACCTGAGGAGGGGCGGTGAAGGATTAAAGACGACAGATAAGAGAATACAGTTGGGGCCAGGTAGGATCACTGTGCCTGGATGAGGAAACAGTGACCCAGCCTGTAAGCCCAAGCTTTATTTTATAGTCAGATCACACAAAGCAAAACAAGGGGAATGGTCCACATGTTTACAATGTCCTTGCAAGTTTCAAATCTATTTTGCTTCTCAAGCCTTGTTTTGGCAGCACTTGCTGCACCTCCCACAGCCCATTAGCTACCTAGGAACAAGGGAGGACTGTAAGGTCAAGCTTAATTGTGCCAGGAGGGCTCTGCCCTCCAAGCTGGGACTTGTATGTGGCTCTGCCACAGGTCAGTCCGAGGCTTGACCCCATAGCCTTTCCCTACAGATCATAACAGCCACTGCTTATTAAGCCTACCCTGGAGCCGGCACACTATCATTTATTCCTCCCTTACAGATATAATCTCCTTTCTACAAATGGGGACATGGAGGCTCAGAGAGTTTCAGAGACTCGCGCAGGACATGCCACTTGTGGCAAAGTAGGCTGTGAACCAGGCTGCATGACACCAAAACCCATGCGCTTGGCACAGGCTGGCTCTTGTGATCCCTTCTTCACATAGAGCCTTGCAGGCAAGCACCGTCCTGACTCCTGGTCCGTGTGACTTGTCTTTCTCTTTGATTTTACATCAAATAGCAGCTCCTTCTACAAACAGCCAGGGGGGACTAACCGTTGTCATTAATTACAAGTCCCTGCTTCTGAACTGCAGAACCTGACATCACCCTGCACAGGCTAATGGGGGTGGGGGTGGGGATGGGGATGGGGAGTGACTGGGGGACGGGGTGCCTCACCTGGAACCATTCTCAGCCACCCCTCCCTCTAACTGAGAAAAGAAGCCTGGGTGATTTGCTCCAAATCCCTAGGCACTTTGCTGGTTTCAAACAGCCAGGAGTTGGATTTTGGAGGAGGGCCAGGGTTGAGTCTGCCCTATGGAGGAACTTGCAAAGTTTCAGAACCAAGTTCAAAGTGGGACAGTGGTACTCCAGGTGTTTGAGGTCCACACTTTGGGGGGATTTATAAATTGTCTCCAGTGCTCAATGCACCCTTCTGATGAGCCGTGTGCAGCGTGTTAAAATCTCACATATCTGTTCTCTGTATATGGAAAATGTGTCTTGAATCTAAAAATGTGGCTTGTGTTGCTCTTTTATGCCATTTCATAGTAATTATTATTTACCAACATGTTGGTCTGGGATGGATTAGGGGGAGTTTCTTCACTACAAAGGGGGATTTTAAAGCCCATGTCAGAATCAAGCAAGTAAGCTACTGTATAGATTTTCAAGCCTTCCATGCTGTGAGGTACCGAAGTGGGTCCGGGAAATCGCAGAGAATGAGCATTCCGGATGGAGAAGTTTCTGTGCCATCAACGTTGCCGTGACCACAGAGGGGATCCTGTGTCCACCCGATGCCCATAGAGCCCCCTCCGGGAGGCCACCTGGCTTGCCTGAAGGCTATTAGGGAATAACAACACTTCTGTCCCGACCCAAGTCCCTTCACTTCCCATCCAGTCCCCCACACCCAGCCCTGGTGCGCACGCCAAGGAAAACAGACTCCGAATAAAGCCAACAACTTTTATTGTCATTCGTGTGTTTCATAGAAATAAAAACGGGAAAGTAGCAAACGGGTCAGGGTTGTACAAAAAAATGCAGGTTTATACACGTGGCTCTATTTACAACCGGGAGCGGGCTCTCCATCACGCATCACGCACAGCAGCTGCACTTGTCGGAGGCTCCTTTGCAGACGCAGCCCTGGGCGCACTTGGCACAGCCCACGGGGCAGCAGGAGCAGCAGCCTGGGGGAGGAGAGGAGGTGGCAGAGGTGAGCGCTTGGGATAAAAGATCAGTAAAAAATCCCGTCCTTCCAGGGGCCACGGTGGAGGAGGTGCCGCCTTCCCTAGGGGCGGCAGTTGCCCTGTTTAAATTCCCCTCAGGGCGGAGGGCATGCAGGGTAGGGGCGGGAGGGGCACGTCGGGAGCAGAAGAGACTGCACTTACTCTTCTTGCAGGAGGTGCACTTGCAGTCTTTGCATTTGCAGGAGCCGGCGCAGGTGCAGGAGCCACCTGCAAGAAGAAAAACAGGTGAGAATGGTCTCCGGATACCCAACCAGTGAAGGGGTGCCGGGAGCCTGCGTTAGAGTCCCAGACCCACAACGAACCCAGCTCCACAGCCAACTGTCAGTACAACGGCGGACCGTGGAGAAACGTGCACCCGCCGCTCTAAGAACTGTTCGTACCCTGGAACCCAGGGATTAGCAGGAGCAGGACACAGGGCATCCCCAGCCCCGGACCAGGCCCACTTACCGGTGGCGCAGGAGCAGTTGGGGTCCATGGCGAGCTGAACGGTGGCTGGAGTCCGAGGACAGAGGTGACACTGATCGCTGGAGCTTACAGGAGGCGCTGTGAAGCGGAGCCCGCGGAGGCTTCCTTTATAGCGGGACGCAGCCGGGGCGAGTGCAAAAGCA